AATCCCAATTAGGTACGTCTTGTTTTACCATCATAGCATTTGTCAATATTAACTGTGAAGAAAGGTTTGATGGATTGTTAAGGTAAACAAGCTATTTTTATATTCATGTCAAAATATGAGAAGTTGATGATTTCATTTATAGAGCATTGAAGCCTTCTGAAAGGCCAACAACAAGTGAGTCAAGTAAACTACGCTCATGGGTCTCAGTTTTGGGAAAATTTAAACATCCAGTCGAGCATGATAAATGCCATACATCATTTGGAATACGGTTTGAGAATTCAGCTCGCGTTTTCCCTGCGACCTCTGCGCAATTCTAGGGAAGTTAATACATTTCTACCTCTAGAATCATTTCTAGGAACTTTTGGGCAGAGGAACTACTATGAAATGGAAAGTTGTTTCATTCATATGGTTCCACCAACTAGAGCTGTGCAGCTCGATGATTTTTAGGGAAAATGTTAGGTTTGTGGAGGAACTGTCATGAAATGAAGAGTTGTTTTAGTGATACGTTAACATCCACTCCAGGCGTGAAGATCCTTTTCCATCGTTACTTATGGCTAAATTCGTTCACAAATGTGTTCATTTTCAGAAAGTGACTCTTCAGATGAGACTGAGTGTGATACTTGTGATCTATTGCCGCCCATGCGGCCTAAGAGAACACCTTATCCAAGTCTTAGTGCGTTGCATGCAAGGAGAAAGAGCAATCCGAAAGTATTTGATGGGTAAAGAGTTCTTTTTTTACTATTGCTGCACTGGAAAATCAGACCTCGAAACCTCATGTGACTTTTCCAATGTTTGTGATGGTTTATTATTTTGTTTCTAACTCTGATGTTCACGGTGTTTTTACGCACGCTATTGCAAAGTATTAATTAAGTTTTTTTTCTTTAGTGTCAACGAAGGACCCTTCTCGAACTACTTGATAGATAATAAGGGAACAAAAAAAGACGCTTAAAAACTTACCAGAAACTTTACCATCCATTACTAGGTATGGTGAGTTATAAAGGAAAGCAATGGTTTTTGTTATTTTAGACCGTTTCATACATTGCTATTTTTTTTAATTTCGTATATCTTTTTTTTTGGTATAATTTTATTTCAGGGGTATAGGCAAGTTATTTTAACGTTCACGGATAGGGCGAGTTGTTACCCTAGCCTGTTATTGGTACCTGAAAGTTTCGGTGGTATATTTTTGTAAATTGTTACTTTTCGTGATAACTTTAGGGCGGCCCTTCTCCTAATTAGGTATGCTTTGTTTTACCCTAATGCATTTGTTAATAGAAACTGTTAAATGATGGTTGAGGTAAACAGGCTTATTTATATTCATATCAAATTACGGGAAGTTATTGAATTTGTTTAGAGACTATGGAAGCTTTCTGAAAGGCCAAAAGCAAATGAGTCAAGTAAACCTCGCTATTAGTTATGGGAAAAATTAAACATCTAGTCGAGCATCGTAAATACCACGCGGTTTGAGAATTCAGCTCGCGTTTGCACGTGCAATTTAAGAGAAATGTAATGCATGTCTACCTCTATGATCATCTCTAGGAAATTTTGAATGGTTGTGGCGGAACTACTATTAGATGGAAAGTTGTTTCAGTAATACAGTTTCACCAAGGGGAGAGGGGGGGGGGGAGTTTTCTCAAATGCATTCTCTTAAATGAAATAAAAGCGGTGTTCTCACAACTCGCAAAGCAATCTCACGTGAAAACTGTCAGCGAATTAGGTCCATTGCAGACGAGCACCAGATGTTTACAAGGAGAAAGATGGCGGCTAACTTAGACAATTGAGGAATGTCGCCCGGCTGGTTGTTTTTTTGAGGATCCGAAGACGCTTTCTGTTATATAAGGAACATGAAGCCGGGATCAATACTTGTCAAATTTATAACTGTCGACTCGGCTAATTTCTGCAGCGAAATTGAACTAGTAGGCCTTTGCATTTTAACATTCGCAAAACTAAATTTATCAGTAAATAAAGAAGTTTTAAGGATTTTCTTTGTCGTTCTTTATAGTGCCATTTTTGAAATGATGACAGTAAAACGCTTTGCTGACGGGTAAATACATCTGTCCGGCGACGATATAAATCGTTAAATCACAATTTAAACTTACGGTTAGTGAAAGCTTAAATTTTGCTGACCGCGTCTCTCCAAAATTTCCATGTAGACGCACTTACTAGATCTGCTAAAAAGGTAGTGTAGGAACTATTTCCAGTTTTTCTAGAGCGGTTTAGCCGTCGCCGGTCTAACGCCACCTCCAGGTTAGCGTGGTTTCGTGTTTTCGGTAATTCGTTTGGAAGTCAGGTGACGTTCGTATCGCTGACTTTGATCCATTTAGTACTTTTGTCAACAGACTTTCCATCAAAAAAAGAAAAGACCGGAGGAATTGCGGCAACTGAATCTTTACCACACATTGGTTTTGGATTTGGACGTCTTTGACAAGTTAAAATTACTTTCCTCGACGATCATTCATTTAAAGCGACGGCAAGCAAAATTCCTGGAGGTGTTTGTACTATTTTCATCGAAGCTTCGAGCTTTGAGCCGCAACTTACACTTCCCAACCAAGACATTTCCCACCTGAGCTCGGATTTGTCATTTAAAGTTCCTCGAATTCTCGAACGAGCTTCGCCAAAGCAAAATCAAAAAGCGCCAAAAGGAAAAGAGCGTATCCATAATATACAGTTTTACTACGATAAAAATTTTCAAGCTGTTGTACAAACAAACAACAGTTGGAGTAACTTGCAAGTCCACATTTCGGACGTAAAGGATTTGAGCTGCCCCAATCAGTCGAACCCAGGGTCGTTTTGTCTCCTTGTCAGCTGTATGGTCGCCAAATAACGAGCTCTGGGAGCATGGATTAAGGATACGGTAGACCTGCAACGGTGGCCTTTTTGTACGTGTGATGTGCGATCCTCGCAGTAGATAGCGCTATTTATGCAATAGCGAAAATCAGACCTGAAAAAAAATCAGGCTTGTACGGGATTCGAACCACTGACCTCTGCGATACTAGTGCAGCGCTCTACCAATTGAGCTAACAAGCCAACTGGGAGCAGGCCGTTAAGTTAATTCGTAATAAACCCGTGAAAGTGATAAATGAGATGCAATGAATATATGAAGTTCATATATTTTGAACTGCGTATTAGATACGTGTGATGTGCGATCCTCGCAGTAGATAGCGCTATTTATGCAATAGCGAAAATCAGACCTGAAAAAAAATCAGGCCTGTACGGGACTCGAACCACTGACCTCTGCGATACTAGTGCAGCGCTCTACCAATTGAGCTAACAAGCCAACTGGGAGCAGGCCGTTAAGTTAATTCGTAATAAACCCGTGATGATAAATCAGATACAAAGAATATATGAAGTTCATGTATGCTAGAGCGCTAGTATCGCAGAGGTCTGTGGTTCGAATCCCGTACAGGCCTGATTTTTTTCAGGTCTGATTTTCGCTATTGCATAAATAGCGCTCTCTACTGCGAGGATCGTGCATCATACGTATTTATTACTGATACTGCACTAGAATATCAAGCCTCGAAGCTTCCCTTTTATCAGTATGTCATCGTTGACAATTTTATATTTATCTCTCCAAGTATTTTTTCTAAGTATAACAGCAAGATCACACTAGAACTACTTAATAGATAATACGCAGGAATGTCGGGATAAAAGCAGTTTTTTAGTCTAGGAAATAATACCTTTCAATTATCAATGTTGGTGAGGAGTAAAAAATATTAACAATTTTTATATTGTAGAGGGCGAGAAGAAAATGTGTTCAAAGAATCCAAAGTTCTTCTAAAGAGCGTGGTAGAAAAGTAAAAGTTAATACATAGGGAAGGATTTACTTCCCGGTAAATATCGAAGAGCAATTTTAAGTAGGACGTATTTCAGTCCGATTTTTGCACATAAGGTTCGAATTTTTGATCGCACGAACATTCGCTTATTTTAGTTAGTAAGTACTACAGCAAAGCTTCACGTGCTAGTTCTTTGTGACATGTATTACTTTATATTACGAAGATATGAAATATCTTTTCATTACAATTTGTTGGATTAATATCAAGAGGACGCGAGTTGAGTCGATAAAACATGAAGGTGTTGACTTAATGGTAGTTTTAGATACAAATGCACAACCAACCCGATGGAGATCGCATTTCTCACTGGCAATGAATGAGGTCTTGCTCAGCCATACAGTTTATATGATGCTGGTTCAGGGAATTTAGTGTTCAATCAATTAATCTCCTAATTGATGTTTTTCTATATTCTCATCACTTATCTGCTTCGCGGATTGTATTGGAATATCGAGAAGAAATTTTCTCTTGGTCAAAGCGTTGAGATATCCTGCTGACTACTCAGCAAAGCGCGCTTGACATCAATGTGTTTGTTTATTTATTTATTTATTTAGCTTCGCTTAATTATCTTAGGCAGGGAGACCATACAACCTTAGCCAATTACAGTGGATCCCGTGTCAATAATTACAAGGCCAGCCCCCCCCCCCCCAGTCCCCAATTCCCAGTAAACAGGCCAAACCATATCATAGTAATCTCGTGAGTAGGTTCTTTAACGTCTCCTGCCTAACCAAATTAACTAATTAATAGAAGCAGGAGACGGGAGCAACGGTTTATTCGGGAGGCGGTTTCCATAGCCCAGCTTGACTACCGCCACTTAAACTTGTGAATAAATACAAAATACATTATCTGTTTTGAATTATTGTTTTATTGTAGAAATACTATTTGTGTTATTTTGTTCGTTTGTTTTCCAACAAAGATCTTGCAAAATCAGGGTAGAGCATTATTGCGAGTAATCAATTTTCCGTTTGGTGCTGTGGTTTATTTATTCTTCAAGGCACACAGAAATTTTTAATGAATCGGTTTCTTTGATTGATATGAACAGCTTGTGCACATCCCTAAAAGGAAGAAGCTACCTTATACACTCCAGAATCGTGGCCTTAAATGATCTAAATTTGATGGGGTCGGCCCTCTATTTTCTCGAGCCCTTTGTTCTGAATAGCATTATTTTATTCTTAATTGTCTTAATTAATCGAGTTTACATCCAAGTAGACTGATACAAATTTTCGTGGTTTACTCCATCTAGTAACATTCTATTTATCGGTCATGCTTTGTTGCTTCCTTTTGAAGACATTCTGGTAAACATTTTGGCTGTCTTTGCGGAAAACTTGAAGTGTCCTTGGATTAATTCAAAATACCCTCAGAAATGTCTTCTTGTACGTATCAAAACTTCCCGTTAGAGAAATCTAACAAAGAGACCTTTTACTGGGTCCACTTTTGTGTACAATGTCTCCCTGATGTATTTCTGTGGAGGAAAATGCTTTCGGTAACGATATCAAGAAAGAATAAGGTGAACAAGAATATCCGAAGTGTATTTGATTGCTTAAGGTGTAAGGTGCGTTGCTCACAGTAGCGGACGGGGTTGGGGTGAAACATTACATCGTAGTTGTTTTGTTTTGACAATCGAATGCAGATAAGTTTAAACTATTGTTCTGTAGAGATGCAGAAAAATTTTTTAAGGGTTCATGTTTCGTTCCAGTAGTGGAATTATCGTTTGGTTTCTTGACTTTAAAACAAGCTTGAAGAAAAGTGAAGAAAGTGCAAGTGGAAATCGAAAAAAAAAAATAGATTTGACATGTAGCTAACATTACTGGAAATACAACAACTCACCCCAAGCAGTTAAGGCCGGGTGGAAATCTTTTTTTCTTAATTCAAGAATTCTTAACAATAATAATAATTATCGGGAAAAAAAAGCCTTCAAATATGGGTACAGTTAATTTCGAGCAACACGTGTCTTCTTCCTTCGCGCGCTCCCGAGAACTCACTTTGTGTTTTCCACCGGGTCATTTCCAGAAGCTACAAAATATAGGGATTTTTGATCGCTGCATAGGCTGTCATCTCTCTTGTCTTGGAGAGGCGTTAATTTAGCTGACAGTCAATTCATTTAAGGTTTCGGTTTCTATTTTATTAACTTTTTCCGTCCATGAAATTAAATACAAAAGGTTATCTGATAATTTCACACATGACAGATTTAATTCCCCCGTCAAGAAATAAAGTGTCATTTTCTATTTGCTCTTCTGATGTTTAACGGATAATGAGTTTTCTCACTCTCGTTTTCGCGCTCGCCTCAGAAAGAATTTCCAGTATAAATGTATTTTTAATGTGAACTTTATTCTTGCGTTTATAAAGCTTAGAATTCATTCAAAACAGGGTTACAAAAAGTTAAATGTGGGTATGGATCCCACTTGATATTACATCGTAAAAAAGGTCACATTTCGCACTGTCATGACTCAGATGTGGGACAGCAGCTTTACTGCTGATTGCTCCAATAACTGCGGCGAGCAACCAAATGGAAACATCACTAATCTACAATTCAGTTTGCGAACGTGCAGGACCCCTGGTTTTCGACCAATCAGGGCGTGCGAAGATTCTTTATTACCCTGTTATACCATGAAATGAAATGATAATGTCACTACTGACACCCAGTTGACTGGTGATGTTTGCCCACTTTTCTTCCGTAGCTTACTAGACACCTTACTACATTCATCTATACAAGACTCCATTTCCCCTCCCCTACTCCTCCGTTTGTTTTCGTTGACTGATCGATTTGAGAAGCCTTGATTGTTCCTGCAACAGCTCGTAGATGCCACTGATCCTACCGTGTGAGACAAAAACGGGGTTAGAGATTTAACCTATCATAATTTCAGCAATGCGTTTTAGAGGCAAAGGAAAGGTGGGTTCAACACTAGTGTCTTATTGAAATTCGGGAGTGCGCCATCTTTTTCCGTTGTTTTTCCTTTTTTTCTTTCTCGCTATACATTGTAAGTTTTTGTACTAGAAGGGGATCGAAATCTGAAAAGTATCCTTTGTAGCCATGCCCTTGCTTTTTTTTTCACCCCTCTTTGGAAAAAACTGACGTTTGCACCTTGACATACATTAGGTGTATTTATTACTTATGATATTGGTTAGTATAGTGTTAGTACTGCAAGAAGGTGTTCACGATCAAAATGTTTAATGTTACATTGCACATCATACGTGAACGGCAAAGTTTCATGAATCTGTGGAAAAGAGGAAGATTTCTTTCTGTTTATTCCTTCACGTAAATTACCCTGAAAACGTCCACGATACCGGAAAAGGGAGAGGTTGCAAATATTCTATCATTCTATTTACTAATTTTGTTTCCAACTACATGGTCGAAGTTTGTAAAAATTGCGAGAGGTATGTTATAACTGTGCAATCATACACGTTTGCCTCTTCTCCAGTTCTCTCGAGCCAGACTTTTTTCATTCTTGCATATTAGTAAAAAATATCTGACTTAGTTTCAGGCTCGTACCTATTCTCCTGCTCCTCCATTCTCTTCAGTAGTGGATGAAATGCAGGGGGGAGGTCTGGGGATGTGTCCCCTTCATCATCATCTCCTTCCGGACGGCTGAAACCCAAAAGCTTCTCATAGAGCTGGAAGAGAAAAGTTTTAAAATACAACTTATGCGGCTAGTCTTAGAGAGAGAGACTGGATTTTACTTTTCTATTAGTCTAGTCGTCGTACCAACTGGGAGGACGGCGGGCTCCTTTCCGGTATGTAAAGCGAGATGGAAAGTAACATTTTGCGACGTCTTACACATGATCATACTGGAACCCTTTCGCCATTTTGAACATAAAAAATTGCTCATGACATTTCAGGCCTAACTTCTTACGATTTTTGATGTGAACAGTCTAGAATGTTTGTGCAAATGAAGAAGAAAATTAGTTGTGGAAGGGAAACATCTAAGAAGGTAAGAGTTTTGTAAATTGTAACAGGCGAAAGGTTTCAGTGAAAACTTAATTTTGTGAACATGAGCAATACCTTGGATGCACTCCTGTTGGGATATTCAACGTGTTTATCTACATGGGCATGTTTAACAATAGATTTAGGCACTGTTTCCTCCATGTCTAAAACCAACTCGACCTAAAGAGGAATGGAACGAGCAAATGCTTTTAGTTAGTTGAGACTGGTATCTAGTTAGCCGCTAAGATAGAAATTCTCTTACAAAACCACTCAAAGGGAGTGAAGTAAGCATAGACACGAAAGCGCTAGAGACAAGGTTTCGATAGAGCGAAACCAACTTAGTGTCGCTACTGCAAGAGCCTTGCTCACTAAATCTGTTCTTTCAGACCAACCTGCATCACATAACGGTCAATTAAAGCATTCACTTGGATCTTGTCGATATCACCAACAGCAAGGCCCACCTTGTAACAAGACATAAGTAAACAAATTCATTGCTTATTACACCCCAGTATATTTTCTTCCTAGTGTCGTAACTGGTGAAATTCATATGGTATTTTTCCTCATTCGATGTAGTTTTTTCGGCTTTGAATTTACGTATTACCTACTTGAGGACGTCTGAACAGAGTGTTGTGAGGGGACCGATCTGTGACGATTTTAAAATGACATGACGTTTAAAAACAAAACCGTTCAAATTTTGTAATCGATACTACTAAACTCTGTCATTTTTAAAAACAACTGTTAAGAGAGGTAAATTTTCATTTAAAAGTGTAGAAGTGAAGTTTAACTCGATGAGCCTCGAATTCATGCCTTTCGACAAGTCTTTCTGCTTCAAGGCCGAACTAACTGCCAGGATAGCGGTCTAGTCAAGTAAATACGGTTTGAACAGGTTTTCGCATCTCTGATTTCGTGTTATCGAAGCGGTACTCACCAACATGTTCATAAGAATGATAGGCATTCCCAACACGAACATGAAAAACAGGATGTTGGTCAGTGCGGCATATTCCAGTTTGTCCCAAGGCATGAACAAGTCAGCATAGTTGAGTTCACCGAGAGTCATCACAAAAATGGTCATCATGGAGTATGGAAAGGTGGCATAGGGTTCCTGAAAAAATAAAATGGTCAATCTATTAATTTTTATCGTGTTTAAATAAAGGTTATCCATCCATTCATCCATCCATCCATATGATATGGATGTTATTGATAAATAAATACCAGTATGCGCAAAGATTACATGACTGACTGGTTGAGTGATCTGCTGCCGGATGACAGCTGAAATGCAGATAGATAAACTAATAATCGGCTGCCACTCATTAATGAGTAGGAGGGAGGACTGCACGAGATTTTTATGGTGACAAGAGCATTGTTCGGGTACTCTCACCACTCTCTGGGTTACTGGCTGAGGATCCATGCGGCAAAAAAGGTTCCCGACGGCCCGGACAAACAGTAACTTCGCCGCAGTATCAGTTGAAACTGATAAGAACCCTGCTGGCCACTTCTGGGAAGATGTCTTGGTGCTCGCACAGAACACAATGCCACCTGCTGCCATGGCCTTCTGCAGTGTCAGCTGAAAGGCTGATACTACTTTCTGACCACTACCGCGATTACGTCACAGATGCTTGAGCAAGCTAGTCCACCACCTGCGTCCATGGCTTCACTATTTATCCCATAACTGGGGAATACAGGATTTTCGGGCAGGGACGTCACCCCCCGAGGCGAGATGTGGCCCACCCCGTGCACCCTCTACTTGACTGAAAACTGGCGGACTGATTGACCGATTGACTGGATGGATGACTGTTAGACTGGCTTACTGACTGGCTTACTGACTGGCTCACTGACTGGCTTACTGACTGGCTTACTGACTGGCTTACTGACTGACTTATCGACTGTTCGACTGATTGGCTGCCTTATTAACTGACTGAATGTCTGGCCAATAGACTGACTAACCGGCTCATGGACTGACAGACTCAAAAACACAATGAAAATTCAATGAAATACACAATAAAAAATGAGACCAGACTTTAAATCTCACCGTTTCTTCGTCTAAGAGCAGGTAAAATGTGCTGCTAAAAGCCATGACTAACATGAAAAACAGGAGCAGGACCTGGAAAACATTGATGGTAATCACATTAGTTTTACGCTATCAAACAATTAAGGTTAGTTTTGTGTTATTCTCTAGTTTAGGCTTACACCTGAGAAGGTTGACATGGGTAACATAGGTAAAACGAGAGTTTTTTTGTAAGTAAGTAAGTAAGTAACAACAAGTAAGTAACACATAGAGGGTAACACATAACAGTTAAAAACTGACGAACCAGTGGCCCTCTATCCTAAGTTAAAAGTTAAAAACTATTTACACTTGTAAGATAGTAAAAAAAAAAAAAGAAAATTTCTGGGTGAAATCTGAATATGCACAACTAAAAACTAAGCAAGGAGTTCTTGGATAAAAAATATTTTCGAACAGAAGATTTAAAAGAGCCAATGGAGTCTTTCTTGCGAATTTCTAAAGGGATGCTGTTCCATAGTTTTGCTCCACTGGCCTGAAAAGTTCGTCCCCTTCCCCTTCGTTTTTCTATTATAGGAGGGGCACACTAAGTTATATTTTCTATAGCGACTGGTTCTGGTGTGTCGGTCTGAGTTTCTCGTTAAAAGTTCTGTTATATAACTCGGACAATTATTTTCATCTTTGATGCGCCTAAATATTAAACTAGTCCTTTTAAGGTTTAATTCTTCCTTAAGTGAATCGAGTCTGCTAAAAAGCATCTCGCTTCTTTCACCGATGTCAGTATCCAGGATTACTCGAGCTGCTCGCTTTTGCAGCTTGGATAAGAGGTTAACGTTCTCTACTGACGCAGTGCACCATGCACATGAGCCATGCAACATTATTGGCTTTATGAAGGCGTTGAAATGTAGCTTACGCTCGGCTAGAGGCAGGTTACACTTAATCTTCTTCAGCACCGCAATACGTTGTGACACCTTTTTACAAATGTCATCTATGTCTTCAGTAAAACTGAAGTGATTGTCTAATTTTTGTCCAAGTAGTTTCTGTGAAGTTATTTGCGCAATCTCGCTACAATTGCATGATAATTTGTCGATGGAAACGAAGAGAGTAATTTGTCAGCCTGTCGTTGGAAACGGTTTCGTCAGTCTAGCCGTGAGGTTATCAGCTGAAGATTTATTTAGGTTATTGTAGTATTAAGTATTTCCGGTTCTGTTCTAGTGTTCCGTTGCATGTTTGGGCCCATGTGCTTTAGGGCACGTCATATTGCTTTGAAATTGATCCATCCTGGTATTAAAGCCAAGTTTATCACAGGTATCAACTTCGATTTGTGAATTTCGATCCGTTGGTTTAATTAGGTTCTTATTTTCGTAACTGAATCAGATGGTGTCGTGACAAAATCGTTCGTAAGATGCCATTAGAATAGTTTGGAGATGATAAAAACATATCACATGCCCGATATTCCTTCGTTATTGTTTCATGATTAAATACCCACCTTAAACAGGGTGGCAAACATTGTTGTCAACATTATTATGTATTGTCCATAGGACGAAAACCTGTAATTTGAGGATGAAAAAAGAATGATTTATGTCTAGCCATGATTTTTGTTCTTTTGAGTTACAGGAAAACTGAATTAATGAGCCGTACATAGATTTTGAGTTTTTGACTCCTAGGTAGCAGAATCCTCTCAGTCGGGTAGAAATGTTGCTTGTGATTTGCAAAAGATGCCTGAAATGTTAATGTTTACTGATGAAAGCCATTTCGGGCTTAAAGATTTTCACATCTCACTTTTTCATCATCGACACGAGGAGCTTAATTTGCGATCATTTATAGAGGAATGAATCTTTCCAATTCAATGACCTATCACAAAATTGGTCCTCTTAATTATCTTATGTATACATCATTAATACCTTCTAAGAAACAAGATGAGGTTCATCCAGCCAAAGAACAAGGCCATTGCTCCAATTTCCTGCCGGAATCCCAGCTTACAGTCACAAGGGGGAACAATGTAAAACAACGCAAAGCCATACCCCACCCACTCAAAGTAGTTGGACAGTGAACGAAGATATTTAATCCTCTAGAACATGAAGTAGACATATTTAGTATTTGGACTTCAATTGCGAATATAAAAGAATTTAAGAAGCATTTAAATGCAGTGGTTTTAATTGAATAATTTTCTATCACGCCACCTAACGCCGCTTCACCCACACCACGCTCCTTGATTGGTCCAGACACTCGCACCATCTTCTCAACCATTAGATGCTTCCTTAAGATCAACTACGACTTCTCACTCACATTTTCCAGCTCTTCAGGCAGTTTGCAGGTATTCATTCTATATTCTTATTCGATTTTCTTTTCTGCTCAAATTTACTATCGTGATTACTATGTTTGGTTCCACGAAACGTTTTGGTGCGACTGTCTGTTAAAAGAAAGGGTATTCCTTACCATTCTCATTCATTCACAATCAGTGGAAGCTGTTTTAATCTTGCTTAATCGTGATCAATGTGAAATAACCAACCTGCTTCTTTAGCTGCAGTAATTCTTTTATCAGGTGAAGAATTGCGATTATCCCAACTGCAAACTGAAGAACCTGAGCAACCTGTTAGAAAAAAACAAACCAAAACATCAACAGAGCAACCGAATATATGTCCCATATCCTGCCCGCTTTGATATTTGAACACAGGAAATTTCATCTTCACTTGTTTAATAGTAAGGGCAAGAAGGAGTCAATTGTAGAGACAACACCGTAAACTTCTTCTCTGCTAATAGCGAGGGTAGACCACTCCTACATGAAAACAATTTTTTCCTGTGTCATTAGCTGAGAAGTCTCTGCATTTCGAAATGAGAATTTTTCAAACTAGTAAATGGCACTTCATACAAAAGATGTTGTGTAGATGTTGCAAAACGTACAACTCTCTTACCGAGTCTGTTAAATTACATGGGACATTCATGTGGATATATTCCTGAAAAAAAGCGAGAATTATTAAAAATGAATTAGACGTTGGAAAAAACTGACGAAGGAGGAGATCCTTGGTTCTCACGTGGGTTGTACTATCCATCAAAGTAAAATAAGGAAGGGCCATTCTCGAAATACAGAAGGCGAAGGGAACAACGAAGCCTTCTGATGCCAAAGTGACTTTTAGCCCTACTGCAATCAAATTTACTTCATAGAAAACGTTGTACACCCAGCCACATTTTGAAATTGAGGATGTTTTACAATTTCGAAAAGGGTCCATCGGTAACTTACAACAGTCAAAAATGAGTGTTCTAAGGATTTAATATTATTGATTGACATTGTTATGTGAACAGTTTTGGTTACCCAGCTTTGGTAATTTTCTTCTTCTTTTTTTTTTCCTGAACCATCCCCAAGATATAGCTAAATAACTGACCATGGGGAAATTATCCGTAATGTTTGTGCGTACCCAAGAATGTACATTATTGCACAAAAAACAATCAAAATAGATACCTTTCTTGATAGGGATTCGTTCAAACGGCAAAGGCGCCTTTCATTCGCCCTCGTGAAGATTGCAAGCGCGGTTAGTGGTACCACGAAGATAAGATACAGAACAAGGTTAATAACTAACGACTTCCATCCAAACGTCTGCCTGAGGGAGGAGAGGGTCAAGTAAAAATACTGTAACAATTCCACCATTCAACAATTTTGATCAACTTATCTGAAAGGTACCTTGAAAAAACATTGCTAACCATTTAAGACATCAGTTGTCAGTTTTCAGCACCACTCTTACTAGGACTATCTTAATACATGTTAATATTAATTATTAATACATATCTTAATACATGCAGCTTGACTGTTTCTCCTACGTTCAGAGAAAATTTTATGCATTCGTAGTATCTCTTACCACTTTTTGTTCATAACGATAAAGCATACTGGATGAGTCAAGCAGGATATTCGACGATGTTCCAGCATGGTCTGTAAGTGGAAAGCGAAAATAACGTTCGTGATCAGTAAAATTCCTTTTGAAGAACAAAAAATACCTCTTCCCCCTCGTTCATACCTTAAGTACTACCAGTGGATCTTGGGTTGGCTGCTGTGATCCTTGAATTATGGTAAAATCGTATGTAATCTGAAAATGAAATGTAAACAATTGTCGTCGTTTATCAAGACAAGGACCTTTCCGATATATTGTAGTGTGATGGATCAGTAAGGTCTTTAAGCATCAAATAACTTTGCCTAGTTTGATACGTAGTCTTTAGAAAGTTAGGAAAGAGACAAATTTTGTGAAGGTTAAACAATTTAACTTAAAATTTGGAATTGATACGATAAACAATTGTTCATAATTCTAACTTTTTACATTTTGTATGTCATTTACTTTGGAGCGCTATTCGTTACAAAAGTCAGACCCTATTTGGTCGCATATAGAAATCTGGTCGTACTTCTTACGCACTTTGCTATAAAAAAAACATTGTATTTTAGAATGAAAAATCTTTACTTTCGACACAACAGATCCCAACAGTATTCAGGACGCTTGTCACATATTAACCCGGTATTTAATCCAGCTCGATAAAAGACTCTCTGCAGGTCAGCACAAAGAGTATCTGACAGCAAAAAAAAAATGGATGCGGTTTATTTCCACAAGAGGATTTCAGACCTTTCGAATACGTACTCGCGCTAAGTGCCAGGCATTTCAGTGTATTCCTTTTTTTCAGGTAGAAGATGACACTTACTTTGTAGTCTTCTCCGTCTGGATTTCCTTCCCTTGTGATACACTGATCCATGAATCGCTGTAAACCAGAACAAAAACGTTATACGTTGTAAAGTGAAACTTTGTTGAAAATGAAAATTTTAAGTGGTGGGAGCATTTGAATATCGTAAAATCGTAAAAAAGAAAACACAACGGCCAATAAAAAAAAAGATGAGAGCTCAGAGTAAAAAACAATCAACCTGTCGGTCTAAAGTGTGGGAAAACTTACATAACGAAGTCATTATTGATTTTTGTTCTGCAAGTGATTGGTTTGGACAAAAGAACTTCAAAACAGTTGGCATTCTCTTGATTTGGAAAATAGAGAGACATTTCAATAATAACCACAATTAAGGCGAAGCTCATAAATTCAAAGATATCCAGAATTACCTTCACCACTCAGTTACCCAAGGATTACAATTACAGCAGAGTTTAACCTCCGATTAGTATTTATCTATGAAATAGGGAGACAAGAATTTGAGTTTACTTACTATAGCGACTTCTGGTATTTTAATCACGAGCTTTTGCATCTGCGCGATATGGCCAGGGGAAGACGATGTCAGCACTTCGCGCCATCTATGAAAATAAGAGTAATTTTTTACACCTGCAGCTATTTCCATGAAACTGCAATTTGATGACGATGCTTTTATCATTTGGCTTTTTTTTTTTTTTGAGAGAGAGAGAGAGAGATTTCAAGAACATACTTGAAAAAAGAAACACCTTTTTTTCTGACCTGTCATGGCTTGCTATCGCAAGTGCAACATTCTTTCTTTCGGCATTTATGGCAGCATCCAATACATTACGATTCTTCTTGTTCATGAGGATTTCCTGTTCAGGATACGATAGCAAACACGACACAACGTCTGGGTAATCGTGAATGGCGGCCACATGCAGTGCAGTGTTCTGGAACAGAGGAAAAATAGGGTTGCAAGTGTTTGGCTGCCACATTCGCGAATAAAATGGATGCGGTTTGATCGTTAGATGAATTACCCAGTGGTTTGTGCATCTTAAAAAAATCCCGCTCAAAAGTCAAATTTTCCAACTTTTCAAACAACAGAAGGGAAAAAGAGTAGCAGGAGATTTACCATGATTGAGATAATGTCTTCTGGCGGTAAGTGATGACTGGTCTCTAAGATGCAATTTTTTCTCATGCGAGAAACGCAACCATGAAACCATTAAGATCCATGAATTTTGAATTTGCTTGGATTTACCTAGGGCATCATTCATTACAGCTTCTGCTAAGTGGATTACCATGGTGAAATATGGTATTACTATTATATTAGTAGCTACGAAGAACTCAAGAAAACACCTACGGCTGTTTTATTTCCTCATACAAATCAGATGCGAATAAAAGAACTCCCGGCACAAAACTGTTTTAAAGCTGAGAAAACGATCTTGTAATTAAAGGATCCAGATAAATGTATAATTTCAAGCGGGCTTGCGCGGTCGAAAAGGCGGCGATGAAGATATTAGTTTTCCCGCCTTTAGAAGCGTCTTCGTCCACAGAACTATTAATACACTACTTCCAACACATCCTCTGAAAAGATGCGAATCGCATGAATTACCACCAACAAATTATTTAAATATTCAAACAATTCGTGTGGCGCTGTGACTGATTCCACCGCAGGTTTGTTAAGCCGTTTTCTAAATTTACCCCAGAGTTAATTTAACATGAGTTTGGCTAACGAACATTTGGCTCCATTCTTTAAAATCTTTTCCGGTTCGATTCTGATACCTACCTGCGCTTCATAGTCGTCAATGTAATTTTGTAACTCTTCTGATATGCGTACATGTGATGGCCGCCCGCTTGATTTTTGCTTTATTTTTAGCCATGTATCTAAATACCCGCTAGACAATCCTTCGACCCGTTGTTCTTCCCGAAAATGCCACATTTCATGAATTTTTACAATCCTGTACTCTTTTTCCACGGCTTTACTGATTTCGGGTGTACACCACGTGTCGTGGATGAGGTGTTCGTGATCGGTCTGAGTATAGGTCGATCGGCGGTCGAGCATTGGTTTCTCTTGTTGTTTTTCCACACAATTACGACATAACGGAAAAGTCAAATTTTTCTCCACTTCTTTAGGGTAAGACAGGATTGAAGAATTCTTCTGGTGGTACAATATCCGTAACTTTGGCGATTTTATAATAATCTGTTAGATCAGTGGTTTTAGGATTTGTAAAAATCTGTGGATGTCACACGGGATATCTTCCATACTTATTGACCCACGGATATTTAGAGGTGACATCGACGTAATGTACTTTTTCTCCATGGGCCTCATCAGTCTTGTGGTACAAATACGTGGCGCCAGTTCTTCCACCGTAAGAGCATGTCGCGGATGCAGGGATTCTACCATTTCTAAGGTGTCAAGAAACCGTACCACTCGCGGGTCGCGCTTTGAGAAGTCATCCCAATTACATTCCCACATTTCCACCCCGGCGTAACCCATGAGTGGATCGTTGAACTCTAATTCTTCGGGGTCCATATCTGCTACGGGTATACCTTCCCGCTGCAGTCGTTGGATCCTCGTTTTAATTTCTTCTTTAGAACGTTGAGGTCGTTTTTTCTCTCCGACAGGCTCAATAAAGCATTTGTAGATTCCCGTATCCACATCTTCTCCACATACTGGACACACGGTCAAACCACATTTGTGTTTTTTTACTTTTTTCCGTTGTTCTTTTTCTTATGGGAGTGCTCGACTAATTAACAACACTTGGTACATTTAGTAAACAATTTACACATGGTGTTCTTGTCTTTTTCTTGTGAGGTTTTGTGATCTTGATAACAATCCACACTGTAAAAATTGCGATGACACTTTTCACACGTGAGTTCTGGTGATTTATTGCACGAATAATTAGGACACTCTTTTCGATGACAGGCAGGACATTTTCGGCCTTGATAGGGATGATGTTGAAAGTCTTCGTGATCAAATCCTTTTGTTCTATTGTTCTTAAGTGTGAGGTCTATTGTTCTTGGTGGTCACGTGTACGATATCCGGCTCTCTGAATGGTCACAGCCCATGGTAGCGCCCTTAACTACTGACGTAGAAGTGCGAAAGCCTAAAACGATCATTTCTTTTCGTGGAAGAGCCAGTAAGGATGAATGCACTTGGTTTGCGTGTCGTCACTGCCTTACTAATAGTGGTTGAGTTCATGGTTTTTTCCGGGGCCGCAAAGAATCGGACAAAAATCCCAGTAAAACGTAAGAGCTCTTTTTCTTTATGGCTTTTTGCATTTCGTAGATTAGAGAAAATCACGAGGGGCATGAATTTAAAGATAACAGTCAATCCTTTATACATTTTTCTATCCACAGATTTCCTGTTTAATAACCCTTCGAAAGTCTGCTATGAAAAGTACGGCTGCTTCAGTAAACAACCTAGTGTCCGCTGGGGCTTGATCAGTATTCAACCAAGCCTACCACAAAATCCTAGTGCTGTTGGCACAACATTTGATTTGTACACTAAGGAAGGGTATGGGAGAATAGACGATTTTGATACAGACAAACTGAAGGCCCCGAAGTTTGACATGTCACGGCGAACAATCTTCGTGATTCACGGCTGGAGAGGTGAGTGCCAAAGCTGTTTGCGGCTCAAGCACCGGGGAAGGGGGGCGATTGATGGCCTACGCTCTCTCCAATATTTCTTTTGTCCGCTTCAGGGCGTAGTTAGACCGTAGAAATTTTGTTCGGAGAAACTAAAGCATATTTACAGATGACATTTTAACTAACAACTTTATCGACATTTTTATAACATTAACTCTAGAAAGTGCAACCAAGGGATGGACCATTGAATTGAAAGATGCCCTTTTACAACGAGAAGACTGCAATGTGATTTTGGTGGACTGGTCAAAAGGAGCCAAAAGACGATATGGACAATCTGTTGGAAACACCCGGCTCGTTGGGGCTCAAGTGGCAGAGCTGATTAGGTTCCTGATTAACAGTACCTCGAGGTCACCTGACTCGGCTAAGAGGTTCTATATTGTGGGATTTAGCCTTGGTGGACAGACCGCAGGGTATGTCGGGAGGTATTTAAAGGAGAAAGCCGGGATGACGCTTGGTCGCATTACAGGTACAAAAACACAATTAGAGAACACAAATTGGAGGTCTGGGACTGGAAAGACCCGGCTGGTCCCATTGTGATGTTTTTTTGGGGAAGACATTTTTCTCTCACAGAGTCTTCTCCACCCAGGAATATAAATTGGTACAATGGAAGCGTCAGAGAAGCCTGTGAAATGCAGTGCGTAGTAAAGAAAGCACTAGTTTGTTCTCTGTTTCCCTACTCGATTCGATGAGAAATCAGGTTATGGCGAAGAAAAAATTTCTATCTTGAATATTTTTGTGCCATCTCATGTGAAGTCTTCCATATCATCAGAGTTTTTTTTTTTCAACATTTAATGAGCGAGTTTCTACCACCCTAGTGACTAGCGACGACCTATCGTCCTATCCGGGGTAAGAAGTAGTGCTAGTTCTGTGTTACAAAGTGACTAGCAACGACCTATCGTCCTATCCGGGGTAAAAAGTAGTACTAGTTCTGTGTTACAAAAAAAAAAAGATCCGGCTGCGTAAGCCATTCGGCCTAAGTGCAGATTTAACCATTTTTTCCTCTCAAGGACTGGACCCAGCTGGTCCCTGTTTCAACAGCATTTCTGATCCGCGCTTCCGGTTGGACCCAAGTGATGCAGAATACGTTGATGTCATACACACTGACATGTCCAAGAACAGCGGTTTTGTCGGTTTCGGTATGCGCAGAGAGGGCGGCCACGCGGACTTTTTTCCGAACGGAGGCATTGATCAACGTGGCTGCCTACGACATTTGGTTGAGCTGGGTAGGTTGAACTACCAGAGTGATTAAATAAAAACGCCTAGTCTTGCAGTATCATGTATATGGAATACAAATGCTTTGGAGTACGTTGTTCGAACTTGGAAACATGAGTATATCCCATCACGGTTATGCATGTAGACGAGCATATGAGATTTAGGTTCAAGAGATGGCAAAAGTATTGTTTGAGATAACCTCAGAACATGGTTAAAGAAACCGTTGATAATTTTCGGAGCTCGTTTGAAAATGTTTTTATATTCTTTAGAGTTCGTTCAGACAGTGAAATGTGACCATCAGAGGGCATGGAAATACTTCATTGCATCTCTAACAAACCCCCGCAGTTGGGAAGCACAACCTTGCAAGGATTATTACGACTGTGAGAAAGGAAAGTTCCAGGCCTGCGATGGCGAATGCCCTACTATGGGATATGGCGCCGACAAAACGAAACCAAACGGCAAATTTTATCTAATGACATCCAGAGGAGCTCCATTTCTCGGTATGTGTCTCTATTTTGTTCGTTTAGACACGTGCTGGTTTATGATAAAACTGCCTTGATGAGTAGAATTTGAACCTGTTATGTTCAAAGATTCAAGCTATGACGGAGATTGCTCTATCTTTCATTAGACGATAGATAACACACTGACGCGATATTTCCTTAAAATGATATATCATGATGACATATCTCTTAATCTACGACAAATCACTGTGGGATTTTTCGTTGAAAGCAGTATACAGCAAAATATCGCAGGAAAACACTCATATCTCGGCATATTTAGTTCTGTTTCGTCGCTAACTTGCGAAATTTATCAGTTAAACTGATCGCAAGATTCAATTGAGAAATATGACACTTTTCATTCACAGTACTTCAGCACGGTACTGTGAGAGAAGCAAAGTTATAAGAATATGAGCTGTGAATTAAAGAAAGAAAAAACATACTCCTTTAATACATTATTTTGGTTTTTCGTTGTGTGTTCTTAATCCCCAGGTTTGAGCCCAGACGCCTCTATGGAGGAGGATAACTATGGAAGTCCTTAATTAAAAGATGTACAACTACTCAAGTCTGGGATGGACAGGAAATAGGACTCTCTGTGTTTCTTCTGCGTAGTTTTGTTTCTACATTGTGCAAGATTAGAACATCGAGACTTTCCCTTGTCAACGACAAGTAATAAGATATAATTTATAAGATAACATGTAATCGGCACCGAATCCACCTCAGAAAGTCCAATACCAAGGAAATGTGAAAGGATAACAATCACTAGGGATGACATTAAGAATAAAGTAAAACTTGAGAGCTACCCTTGGCGGACTCACCAGACATTCATTAAAGCAAAAAACACTTTAATATCCATGGAGGGGGGGAGGGAATTCGATCAAACTGAGCAAAGTCGTGTGATGGTTTCCGGGGATGAGCAAGTACGAGACTTCAAAGACGTTATGCATTAGCAGGTTGAAACTTTCAGGATGTTCACTCTTTTACTTGTAAGAGCTACGTACCTGATCCTTGTCAAAGAGATTAATGCACTGAGGATGGTGTTGTAAAATGCACTGGACACATTGCTTGGAGCCTCTCATGGCCGCAATATGTAGCGCTGTTCTGTCATTATGATCCCTGAAAGTATATCACAGTTTAACCTTGCATTTTGCAGAGTTAAATTTATAGCCCTCTCTTTGTTGATCCAATTCTCCTGCGCCAATTAATGCATCAAATGAAAATAATCGAATTCATAAACACAAGTAACACTCCTCTTTCTCAAACTTTGCTCCCTTGTCTCTGTCTTTCTTATTTTTTTTGCGACGAACATTAAAAACCAAAAATCAGAGGCAACCCCGTGTGAACAGTGTATATCGCCGGTATAAGTCCAGCATAGATATTTCATGAATGATTTTCATCCAATACTTTTAAATGTGTTGTCGCCTCAATTGCCAATGTTTCCTCAACTTTGTGTTGTATCGTTGCACTGTTGGAATCATGACAGAAGCGGAAGACGGATATTTCAAAGGAAGATCTTACAGTAGCTTCTTAATGGAATTTGGAAGCGTGCTCAGTAGCCGTGTCATTACAGACTATTACTGCGAGTCGCTACATAAGAGAGGGTCAACTGTCTCCTAAAACTTTCCTCTTTCCTTGTCCTGAGAGAATGAGAGAATGGCACAAGCGATACTTATTAAAGCTATCTCATTTTCCTTTCTCGAAAAAAATTAGCAGATTTTTCGTTTTCTGAAACCTTACTTTTCCACAGTAGCACCAAGATTTATCAAAAGCTCAACCACTCTGTCATGGCCTTCTGCGCATGCAAAGTGCAGTGCTGTTTTTCCTTGGTTGTTTTTCAAGTTTATGGAGCGAATGTTACGACCTGACAGTAACACTTCAACAATTTCCTTCCAGCCGTATCTGAAAATGAAAACAAAGTCGGAGCAAATATTTATTCTAACGGTAAATCTCTCCACCTGGAAATTATAACGGGTACCAGTAAACTGTCTTGGTGATGCGAAGAAATACAGCGGGGAGAACAACCTCGTTCCCAGGGCTTTTCCATTTTTGAATTTTGGCGCCCGCCAAAATTCAAAAAGGGAAAAGCCCTGGGAACGAGGTTGCGGGGAGAAAGGGTAGGGGTGGGGGTGAATGTTCCCTTTGACATACAAGCATCCCATTAAACATTTACCTGGCAGCACCATGGAGAGCTGTATCCAGTGCATCTGACGTCACACTGGTAGCTGCCTTGTTTCGTTCCATGAAAAGTAAAATGTTCTGTGAAATTAAAAACATTCGAATTACGAGTGACTGACGTTACCCTTAAGTAAAGCATTTAAATGATTACAAGTTGTTGAAGGCATAGTAGAGTCAACCTTTAACTTCTTCAAGTGGCGAAGGGTCAGCTAACTCAAGAATCAATTGTTTTATTCCATTTTAGGGTGTACTTCAGATGTTTTAAAAGAAGGAATTTGTTCCGGTTTGCTTCAGTGCGAATACACACATCATAAGCGTGTACAATAGGAATATACACGAGGTCTTTGATCATACGAATTTGCTAATTATATTATTGTTATATCATTTCACTTGCATCCTTTACCTGGAGATGACCATGCTTGGCAGCGTAGTGGACTGGTGTGAAGCCTGTGATGTCCTTGTCAGTTATCAGCGGGTAGGCTTCGCGCTTCTAAAGTGAAAGAAAGACAAGAAATATTCGTGGTTGAATTCTTTAAACGACGTAGAAATCATTTTAGAATCAAGCAGAACATAAGTAGGTTTTTCCTTTGTTGAGAATTCCACAAAATAGAATCTTGATCATGTTTTTTTATTTTGATTGGATCTAGGTTTTTTTCTTCTCTAATTTTATAATTGGCCCCTAAGAGCACTTACTTGTAATGTTACAACAAATGCACTCATTGCCTCCCTCTCTTTAAAACAACAAGTGTCTTATAGGACGAAGAGGGAGGCTGCTTGTCCTTCATAGTTATTGAACACCGTATATAGTAAACATATATCTCATTAACCAAGCGCGAGGGCCGTACTGGGAGAATATCGTCATTAGGTCTTGACAGTACGATCCAAGCGCAGCGAGGTCCGCACAAAAAAGACCGAGGGCCGATATTCTTCCAGTACGGTCCCGAGCAAGCTTGGTTAATGAGAGATTTATTATACGATTGAAGTTCAAAGGGACAAAAGTGCGGTATCATTCGGGACCATTCGGGACAGTGCCCGGTCCAATACTGAGAGAATATTGACCGGCAATAGAGCATTTTGATTGGTTGATTTTAGTTATTGGCCCTCTGACTGCCCGAGTCGTGTAATAAATCTCTTTATAGAATTTTCTCCTTGTACAAGTTTCTCCTTGTTTTATGAATAAGTTTTAATGATCCTCCTCCAAGGGGGAACTTCTACAGCGTTTTCTGACATTTTGTCAAAATCATGTTATGTCTTTCATATACTGTCGAGAAGAGATTGTTTTATACTGATGGTCACTTATCCACCTGTAGTAATAACTCCATAGTGGCTGTATGTCCAACAGCTACTCTAACACATGATCGTAGATCCACATCTTTCACCGTGACGTCAGCACCATTTTCAATCAACACCTGGACAGACTCAGTTCCACCCACTCCAGCTGCTAACAAGAGTGGGGTGCGGCAAATTTTGTCTCGAGGGTCAACTGAAGCGCCCTGAAAAAAAAAAACTATCAATGAAGAGAGGAACATTTTTAAAAATTTGAAGAAATTAGTTTCATCTTTTTTTTTTACTTCTTTGAGATCGATCCTGTGAATTGAAACAGAACCCGACAAGATTTTCTCCAAAAAAGCGAAGGTTTTCAATCTGTTTCATTGAATGATAACTGCATGCAGTGAATAACGATGAAGTATCCTCAGTAGGCATTTAAAAGGAAAAGTTTAAAGAAAGAAATGGGCCGAACAAGCGAATAGCGCGCTCATTGGTTTCTATGGGATCTATTGCTAAAGCTTTTCACCCTTTGCCTCAACCGTGTTACCTGTTCCAAAAGGTACTGCACAACGCCTGAGTGGTTGTTCATTGCAGCTCTATGTAAGGGAGTCAATCCTTCACTGTCAATCAGTGTTATTCGACAAATAGAGGCGTCGTTTGAAGAAAACAGTTGAACTATCTCTAAGGAACCTTGGGAGCAAGCCACGTGGAATGCAGTACTTCTATCGCGTGCCTATTCACACGTTGTAAAAGCAAGAAGAAATATAGATACAAGATTAGGTGAATGAGTGCCTAGATGAATTAGTGAGTCATTTCAAGTTTCTTTGTGAGTAAAACTTTATGAGAGGAGTAAATAGAATTATGCAAGCTAGCTAATTTTCGCTGTAATTTGGCCCGTGGATACAACGTTGCTTTCGTCGTACAAATTCGCATCAATATGGTGTGTTGAAACTTCTGTATAATAGATATACTGCATATCAGGCTATATATCAATGGTTCGTTTTTCTTTACAATATATATATATATATATTCTACCTGTTCCGATGTGTTTTTAAACTAGCTGTGGTATGAAATTTACTCTACCTTTGGTTGCCGAATGATGGCCCCACTGTCCAGACAAAGTTGCACAACCTGAAGCATAGCGATTCAAAGTTTCAAAATTATAAGATTTAGGATATAATTGAAGACTTCGTACTGTCTGAGTTAAGCTCGAGACGTTATCTTTCCAAGACTACATTATAACCTCCAAAGTACGTTCATCAACTTTATACCTGCAATAAGAAAGACGGCTAAGTCTTTGACATTGCTCGTCGAATATTTAAAACATCTCATTCGTTTTGCCACAAGCGTGAGACAAATTTAAAAGACTGAGTCCTTCGCGAGGATGCTCAAGCAATGAGCTCCAGAGAACTTTAGACATGTATAACATAAAAGCACAGAAATAGCATGAGTTTATCTTCGAGTTTACAGTAGTTCAGTGGTAGAGCATCAGTGCGTGAAATCTAAGGATCTGGAGTACGAATCCCTGAGGGGATACAGATTTCTCTTTCCTCACGCTTGTGACAAAATGAATACATCACCTCTCTTTACTCTTCGTACTTTATCAGGAGGACCGAAAGCCATCAGCTTTGTTGCTAATGAAGGGCTCACCTCAGTGCTTCCGCTGTCCACTGCCAAATGAAGGAGGGTACTCCCCTCAACATCCACATTATTCAGTATGTCCTTTATATCATTCTGTCTTGATTTCACTGTGAACGATATAATGCGCAACGTAAGAGCTGTCAACAGAATCCCGCCATTACCCGATAACCATGTGACCCATGCGTGCTCTTATTGAAAAATATTTCAAGGAAAGTCCCGTATGATGGCCATAAACAATAATGCGACAGGACTGGAAAAAGCCGTCTGGCCCTGTGAAATGCGAGCCGAAAGATGCAGAGAAAAGGAGGAGAAAAGGAGGTGGTCACGGGGACAAAATGCTTACCGTATCTACTGACTTAAGTCGGGCCGGAAGGAAAAATATCTGCACTGGTCTTCTTGCCAAAAACATTCCCATCCGGCCCCACGCAGTGAACAAGTGCATTTTACTTAAAGTAGTAACAGCGTGTACCTTCTTTAAAGAGAAACTCTGCCGCACTCTTGGCCCCTTTTTCTATTGCTCTTGTCAGTGGTCTCATATTCTCGTCGTCACGGCATTCCGGAGATGCACCGTGCTCAATCTGTAATGATGAAAGTACGCATGCGCCAAGGTTTTTGCATTTGATTCTCAAATTTTAATCCTGTGTTCACCTAGCGACCTTGTCACAGTTTCGTTATGAGAAATTGTCGCGTAATTACTAAACGTAAAAAAGGGAAGAAAAAAACATGAAATTTTTCTTTAAAAAGTTGAACTGCTTGAACGAACAGATCAGGGAGAATAACGTCTCCTCAAACATTACTATCGATTCTTAAAAGTCCCTCTCAAGCAGAGAAGATAAAAAGTCTAGATATTGGAGTCCATGTACACAAAATTGTGCATCATTTTAAAAGGGCTTTCATGAAAGAAAAATAGAAGGAAGTCTTAATAATACTAACCAATGTCCCACATATGGCCACTTTGTCCATATCAGCTGCGATGTGAAGAGGGGTTCTTAAACTATGTCCTCGAATGTTTGCATCGCATCGACCAACTCGGAGAAAAGTCTGAAATTTTAATCGTCAATCGAGGTAGACATTTACTGATTATACAATTTGAAATTGACTTATCTACCATTTGCTCGACTCACTGATTTGATTTGATTTTGTTTAACTTGACTCACTGACTTACAAAGTGACAAGGCTTACTCTAACAAGGTTCTCGTCACCAGTCCGAACCGCGGTGTGAAGCGGTGAATCTTGGCTCTCGTCCAGACGAGACGTATCGGCCCCAGCCCCCAAGAGCATCTCCACGATCTTCACGTGACGTCCTAATATGGCATTGTGGAGTGGAGTTCTTCCTGACTTATCCAACAGATTAATGTCTGCAGAACAGTATAAATGAAAAACAGCAAAACAGAGACAAAAACAAAACAATCAATTAAGGTAATTAGTTAAAGAAATGGAAGCGAAATTATATGCCTGCAGTATACTAAAGAGTTTCCCGTGATAAAGTTTGTTCTTGACCTGTTCCCTGAGCTTGTTCACAAATGCAGATAAAACAGTTCTTAAAGCTGGAAAACTTGAAGGGAATTCATTTGCTGACTTAGGTGACTTGAAAGGAGTAGTTTTAAGTAAAGTTGTTCAAGGTCTATATAATTCTTCTCAAGCGATTTTTTGTTTTTTTTTGTCTACTCTAGCAAGACTATTCATGTTTGCTGAAGTAAAACGGGAACAAGTTTCCCATTTGCCAACTTTAGTCTAAAAATAACTTATAATTGTAAGTGTGAATTTAAATGCCAGTTTGTGCCCTCTGCTGATTAGACAACACCGATTGCTCAACATCTTCCCTCCCAACCTTATGGGGGAGTTTTGTGTATTTACTCATTACCGGGCTCTTTGTTCAAAATTTTTCTGACTTCAGCCTCGTCTCCAGTCAAAGAAGCTTGATGGAGTTTGAATGGTATATCAGCCTTTTTATCCGCCTAGAATTAGAGGAACGTTGTTACGATAGAAAGTATTGGCCTGGACCTGAAACAAAACCACAACGGCGACGACAACCAGTTACTGACAAATAAAAAGGTCTAATTGGTAGAAAAATAGCTTAGTACGTGTGTTTTAAAACTTTGTACCTTCTTGTGCAAAACAGTAATGTGAAAGTATCAAAATTTGCGTGGTTAGAGAACTAAAACCCCGTCGAAAACCAATTCAAGTTTCCCTTTGGAGCTCCACTTTGCTGCTTCTTGTTTCTCTCAAGGTGAGGTGTGACGCCGTAAGAGAAAGTTAACACATTCATCCACTCACAAAATTTTCACTTAAAAATATAAAACATTTATTATTTGATGTCTAAGCGTTGCCGTCTTAACTGCAAAATGTTCCTAATTTAAGACCCATTAAGTTTGTAGAATGGATCCGGAGAATTAACTACTTCGTGATTTAATTCATTTTTATCTTATGTCACATTTCAGCTCATACGCAAAACTAATAGGAGAAAGTTTCATGTTCTGTTAAGACGTCGTTGTCATGAATATGGATACCTCATCGTGTCCTACGTCATAGACTTTACTGCCTTGTGATTGGAGAGAGAGCTGACTTAGTGCTTTGGCTCGCTGGCTGCGATCAAGGTCTGGACTCAAAGGTATCAAAGGTAATTCCTCAACACCAGATCTCTCATTGGGTAAGTTGCCATTCATGTCAGCATCCATTGCAATCTGAGGGAATGGGAACGAGGTAAGTATATTAACATTTGGATTAATATTAAGTTGATAGTGATATTGACATTGGTCGTTTGAAAAGCAGCTTTTCAAATTACGCTGAATCCAAATAATTCATTCAAAATTCACTTTGCTAAAATACTGTAACTTGATGAAAAGTCCACGTCGATTAAATGAACACGTAGATAGGAAAACGTTATATTTTTCCTTTGTCAAACGTAACTCATTCGTTTTTAACATGGACATGGCACTTTTAAGTCAGAGCACCTTGTTATGGAGATTAACACTACAAACGATGAATATATATGTGTATATATGTATATATATAAGCGAAATAGGCAACGTAGGATCCATGACAGTGCTCGACAATGAAGGAGCGATTACAGTAGCAAATGGACTACTCAAGTTACGCACATATGGATTTTAATACAGCCTGTTTCGTAGACCAACAAAAGTTGATCCACTCATCAGTTAAACTCTATACACACTGAGGCATCGTGACTGTTAACTCTAACTCAGCAACGTGATCACATGACATTGTTCAAAAAATTCAAATCTTGAAAACCGTGCGCGCGCCGACAATAGCGTTAAGAATACTTGAGAATATATTTTCGCCGATGTCTACAATTGGATATTATTTCACTTCGCTTGTTTAAAGAGGCTTCGTGTGGATAAGACAAGATAAAAAATTTCTCATTGAGGCATAAATTGCAACGTTTTGTGGCATTGGAATATGCGACGAAGTGTAATATATGCGTGATGACACATATATGTGTCATCACGCCCTATATAAATCTATTTAAGGAATTTGTAAGTCATTGTATTACAAATGATGAAGGTCTCAGACCGAAACGTATTTTATTAAACTTTCTTAGACCTTTTATTTGAGTATATGTCTTTCTTAGCTCGAAGTTGTCGGTCCTCGTGTACTACAATATATATATATATACATATATATACAGAAATTATAACCTGTCGGTCAAGGAAAGAGCAAAACTGGGGCCGCTTTCCCGGATGGGTGCGAATGCAGCTACAAAACTAGTACTCAAGCCCTCACTTACACAGGGTCCTTTTTGAGCTCCAAGTTTTTGTTTGCGATTCTTCTTTGATTCTTTTACAGTGGTTTTTTTCCCCAGACCCCCAGGTACAATAATAAAAATAATCCAAAGAAGCCTTTGTTTGCAAAACACTCTTTGGACTTCCCTGCATGATAAAGAATAGAATTGAATCAAAGTTGTATATTTTTTGTCTTCGTCTGTTGTTGTGTTAATTATAAAGGAAATGAAGCGAGTCAAAACAGATGATGATTTCATAACGCAAAATTTGCATAAATGTATAGACAGATGTTGTCTCATAAATACTTCAATACAATTTACTCAATCACACCGAAAAAAAAGTTTGTTAAACAAAGCTTTACACTTGACATTCTAAAATTTAAGATATCCATAGCTTGGAGAGTAAGCAAATCAATACATCGATAAATTGTCGGTAAATAAGTCGTGCAGAAGTTTCCTAGACAGATTTATAGACCTTGAAGGTCTGGATCGCGTGTTGGTTTGTGAACTAATTTCTGAGAAACTGCAAAAAGTCATATGATAAAACCTTGTACGTTTGTAATGAGAAGTGTTGTAAATAACTAGCGAGGGAGTCTCACTAATAAGTGTTGGAAACTTTCAGGAGATATCGATGCTAACACATTAACAGTTTAAAAACAGTGATGTTCTGATTTTCTACTTATGAATTACCTATCGTGTCATGTTAGGAAATCCATTTCTTTAGAGGCGAGATCTCATCTTTTCTAGCTATAAATGAATAAAGGCTGATAGTTTCTAAAGAACCTGTTTGGCGCTGCGTCGGTGGGGGTAACGAAATAATTTAAATATACCAACAAAGTTGAAATGGCAAGTTGGCCATCGTTACGGTTATAAAAGCTGGCGTTTCGAGCGTTAGCCCTTCGACGGAGCGAAAGGGCTAACGCTCTGACGAAGGGCTTGCGCTCGAAACGTCAGCTTTTATAACCGTAACGGTGGCCAATTTACCATTTCAACTTTGTTGATATATTCAAATTATTTTAGTACGGTGAATATATGAAGTTCATATATTTTGAACTGCAGTTATAGATACGTATGATGCACGATCCTCGCAGTAGAGAGCGTTATTTATGCAATAGCGAAAATCAGACCTGAAAAAAATCAGGCCTGTACGGTAGAGCGCTGCACTAGTATCGCAGAGGTCAGTGGTTCGAATCCCGTAAAGGCCTGATTTTTTTCAGGTCTGATTTTCGCTATTGCATAAATTGCGCTCTCTACTGCGAGGATCGTGCATCATACGTATCAAATTATTTTCTAGCTATACTAAACCCTATCAAGTATGCGACTTCTCTGACCATTAAATAACCATCGACATGAGATAACATTGAATCTTGCCCGCCGTTGTAAACAAACAACATCAATTAATGAAAATTTCATTTTCTACTGAGAATCTACACGACTATCGTTTGTTTCGAGATGGGAGTTATTACCTTTACCTGAAAGATCTAAGTGTAGACCTCTGACATACAGAAGAGCGGGCGTTGATTGAGATATTCCGTTTACTTAACACTGTAGAAGTCAAATCAGTTTTCCGGTGAATTTTATGGGACGAGTTTATGAGCGATGACGGGCGACACACGAAGTACTTAATTTTGGCGCGTAATCGTTTAACGCAAGACTTCCTAAATGGCGCCTTTGGTAAGGAATTTGATCTGATTGGGTAGTCAAGAAAACAATTTTTTTCTCCTACGGCCACTTTTCAGACCGTGACAGTCACTCTATTTATTTCTACTTCTATTCACGTCGTATTCTTTTGGAGTAACACTTATTTTATAAATTTAGAGCGAAACGGCCGAAGCATAATTAAAACCAATTGTTTGAGTACAGCCTGAGGCTGGCTTAATGCAGCGTTAAATTAATTCCTTTCTACTGAGTTTTTAATCTCGTTTAGGCTTTATCGAATATCTGAACATAAAATAAAATTCGCGAGCTCGATTAACGATTTAAAGAGGCTCAACTTGCATTCTGGTGAGACATTTTTCTTGTCAGACATTTTTGTGGTCTTCTGGCCTTTATCTGAGTGCTTAATTTTTCTATAATCCTTAACGTACAGAAATATTGGATATATCAATATTTATTGTAACATCCGGTTTCTTCTTACAAAATAAAGTCGAGAAGATTTGTCTAATATCTTGGGGGCGTTTTTTTTAATAAAACAATTATTCCACTCGCGCTTGTTGGGTATGAGATGATTATGATCTCATATCCAACGCGCGCTCGTGGAATAATTGTTAAATATACATACATATGTTAAAATAAGAAAACTCATATGCTGAGAGGTGCGAACTACTTAACCTTTAATTATGCTTAATTATGCTTAATTATGCGTAATTTACTTCTTATAAGCGTCACAGATGACCCATTATCCTAGTGGCGTTATCACCCATTACATGGTAAAGGTTCTAATACAGCTTGTTTCACACTCGCTGCTTTTCACTGCGCACGCACTAAGGTATAGGAGCTCTATTTTACAACACAGAACAGGGTAACCAACCTCGAGGTCCTAGTCAGCACAGGTTGAAGTCCCTGCATAGACAGGATAGACTGTACTGGCTCAGTCACGCCAAGTGCAGGGAGGATCACCGCATCCCAATTGAATTTATCCGATGAAAGAACCACAGGACACCCACATCTATGACACCAGGATTTTGGGAGAGGAGACATGAAGACCTTCGACATAAAATCCGATTCTTGAGGGAGCCTTGAGGGGTAAAAGTTAAGTCATTTAGCTCTGAGCTCTTTAAGAACGTAATCAGTGATGATCCAAAGAGAAGACGCGTGAGCGCAAGCATAACATTATATTTCCTAGAGCTAAGACTGAACGCTTCAAGCATTGTTTCCTTAACAGATGCCTCTTCAATTAAATTCACTGTATATAAGTAACTTTATAATGTTACAAATTTTTATGCATCATTAATTATAATTTCCTTATTAACATATTGTAAAGTCACACGTTTGTTGGTTCTGATTTTTATTAAAGACTGATCCAATTGGTGGTCTATCTTTAATGTCGACTGAGGATAGAAGCTGCAAAGACCTCTTGAATTAGGGGTTGGTCGACGTTGCCGCTAGCTCATCGAATATTTAGAGCTCTTTCGTGGGCCGCGAAAATCCCCTCTGAAAATTGAAACAATATGAGCAAAGTAGACCTCTAGAACTAAGTTATGTCGATGTCCCAAAAAGCTCATTTACGAATATCTGTTGCTTGGTTATTCATGCGATTATTTCACGACGAAGAACGGGCATTCTGGAACAATTATTAAAGCGTTAAAAAGAGTGTGATTGGCTGTCCAAGGGGTGTAATTTTCATCGTTCAAAAGAGTATGATTAGCTATCTAAAGGAGGGAGTTTTCATAGTTATATCTCCTTTGTCGGCCGAAAAAATCTCCTAGGAATACTAAAAATATAGAACTTTGTTAATGAGCAAAGTACACCTCAAGACATAGGATGAGGCCGAGGTCCTTAACGAATTTCTGTTGTTAAATAAAAACTTGAAAATAAATAATAATTTACTGAATGGACATTCCACTGGGTGGCTCTTCTTGTCCACTGTTTCCAGATGGAATTAGAATTTGGTATGTTAGTTTTTGCGGAGGGAGGAAAACCGGAGAAAAACCCTCGGAGCAAGGACGAGAACCAACAATAAACTCAACCCACATGTGACCGGCCAGGTCCGGGAATCGAACCCGGGCCACAGTGGTGGGAGGCGAGTGCTCTCACCACTGAGCCATCCCTGCTCCCTGTTGTTCAGATATCTATGCATCTATAACACGGCGAAAGTGGATATTTCTTGGGCAGCTTCTAGTTTGTAATCGTCTGCTTTTTCTTTATCATTTCGAGCAAAAGAATAAAATAACCAGTTCTTACGGTAAAAATCTGTTTTATTTCACTTACTTTAGATCCAGTTATCAAAAAATTTAGAAAAATATCGCGGTAGGTGGTTAAGCTTGCAGCGGTATTTTAGCAGCCCAACTTGACAAAGTTCACCATCATTTTATCTCTATTTTGATAACAACTTAAAAGTTGTTCCACCGTTTGCTTCAGTGTTGTTCATGAGCTCATTGCCTGTTACTGATGCTTTTGGTGACATGCTGCGGGAAATATTTTCATTGTCATAAAGTAATAGTTAAGAAGTCAATTATCTATCTCTCTGTTATTCATAAGACCAGCAGGTGTAGGTATATCAGTGTCCCAGCAAACATCGAAGGGTAAAAACCATTTATAATTGGTTACATGAATGGCAAAGAAGTAACAGACTCCTCGATTGGTGCAACGTTATCTGAAAGAAGGAAAAACATCAGGGACGTGTTCTCTTAAGTAAAGAGCACATTAAAAACAGAGTAAAAACCATCATTATTATGCCTGTCAATAAGTTCAGTAATCCGCAAGTGGACATATGTGACTGCTTGTATGTTGGTCACTTAGTCAAATAGAAACGGGTCAGCTGGCCATTGTGTTCGCTCTTCATCTAATCTATTGACGTGTAGGTCCATTTTGTCAGCATCTTAGAAGATGTTTTCATTCAAAGACTTAGACATGGTCAGTTTTCCGGCGTAACAACTGAACTCAACTGGGATTTTAAACTAGCCCGCCCTGTGAAAACATACGCATGTTATCCACAAGAGGCTGACTTTTGACATGGCGGTTGTAAACTCGGGCGCATTGAACACAAATGGCAGGACAAAAAATAATAAACCTAAACTTTCTTCGTTCTCCATTTGTAATTATCTATTTTTCTTTCCTTTCAAGCGAAATACTTCAAATTAGTTATGTCATGGTTGATTTAGTTCCATTTTGGCTCCTGGTTCAGTCTTGCTGCAAAAATTTAGTTGTACCGTAAATCCTCTAATAAGCCCTACCGGGGGAGGGCTTATTTATTTCAGGTACTTTTGGGGGGGGGATGACTTACTAGAGGGGAGGTTAATATAGGAAGGGGTTTATTTTTTTAGCCCGATGTTCAATACCAGGATAGAATAGGATATGATGTACCGTATTTAATCAAAAAGTCAAATGAACAACAATAATAAAATGCTTTGTCGTACTAGTAAGGCTCGATTACAGTTCAATATCAATCTATTCATCATCTTCAGCCAAAACTAGATGTGCCACGTCTTCCAACGGATCAATCTTCCATCTCTTTCTGACTAACTCAATTTTATGATCTAACTCTCTCAATGGACCTTGTTTATTAGCCATGCTATATTTTCAGCATCGCTCTGTAATTTCCGTGAGCCGTGTTCGATTTATATATGCCAACATAATATCATCAATCAATCAATCCATCGCCATAATCAATTTTAAATGACAAACTAAAAGTACAATACTTGAATTTATTATCCAACTACACCTAGACGAGTACAAATAACCCCATAGACGAGTACAAATATCACGCGGTATTTGTACTCGTCTATTGTAGAG